CGGTCGCAGTAGACACGGAGTATTAGGCAATACTTCGTATGATATTTTTAGCTTTACGGGTTTATGTCGTTGTAGACAAGGAGCATTAGGCACTACTTCGTATGATTATTTGAACTTTAAGGGGTTTGCGTCGCTGTAAACAGGGAATACTAGGCAATACTTCGTCTGATTATTACACAGGGAATACTACGAAATGCTTCGTTTGGTGGTTTCAGTTTTGTGGGGTTTGCGTCGCCGCTGGATACCCACTGAGTACCTACTATAAGGGTACTTGGACCCTTTTTGAGTTATCGTGTCTGTAAAGGTCAGTATTGCATCTTTGCCCACGCTAGAGGTTTCGACACAGAACTGCATTGCAAACTCTGTGGTGTTCATAGTTGTTTTCCTTAATTGGTGGCCCGACTACATCCCTAAACCCTAAACTTACCCTAAACCCTAAACTTACGCTAAACCCTAAACCCCCAAACCCTAAACCCCTACTTCATAGCACTGGCCTTCAGACCGACCAAAATCTGAAACGACCCCCTTGCCAGCCAGCCTCTGCAAGACTTCGTCGAGAGCGTCCACTAGGCCCTGCCAGAAGGAACTCGACGTGCAACTCGATGACTGCTCTTATCTTAGGGTTCAGGGTTTACGTTAACCCTGAATAACCTACCTATAGGGAACTGCAGGATTTTCGGGCCATTTGGTGAGTTAGGCACGAGTACACTATGCACCATTTAGAAATCATCTTTATAAAGAGGTCCAACATAATGTGTAAGAAGTTGTAATGAGCCCTGTATGTCTAAAGCCCGAAACCAAACGAACCCCCTAAATTTCTAAAACGACAATCCAAAACTCACTCGAGCCCTAACCTGCACACTCTGCTTCACTCCCCGCGCGCCTTCACGCAGTCAGTGCAGTCAGCATACGTCTCCTGCTCGTGAAGATAACCGACGAAGGACGTACCAAGGGAAGTTCTGAAACGACATTGGGTAGTTGTCAAAATTATGGTCCCATTTTGGGTACCCTGAATAGTAACTGCCGTATTATAATAAGGACGCAAAAAGGGACCCAAATTTTGACGACCACCCACATGGTGAAAGGCTGGAGCTCGGGATGGCATATACTGTTTGGGCACATGGACCCTTAACCCTAAACCCTTGTAGAACCCTTATAATTAAAGCTCTTAAACTACCCTTAAAGGAGCCCAAAACGGGCCGTTGGCTTGGTTTCTAAGGCCAAGCTCTACAGTAGAAAAGGTTTTTGACCCAAAAATTCATTATAGTAAGGCTATAGTTGCGTTAAAGAATGACAGTTTGCTGGAACACAGGTAGGTTTTTTGGGGTGCAGGCTCCGAGTTGCAGTCATCTTCTTTGGCCTTTGAGGCTGCGGATCTTCGTCGCAGAGGCTCACTTCTTTGCAAAGAGCTGGCCCATGAGATGCCGTAGCTTCTGAATGCCTAAATCCAGAAATCCTGAAACCCTGTAAGAATCGTTTAGAATGCTGAGAAAACCATCCAAAAACACTCCAAATTATACAAATGCTGAACCTGAAAAAAGGAGGTCCCTTATAGAAGCCTTCTAGAGCCGCTACAACATAGGGGCCTTAATAATTAGAATAGGGTTTTGCGGGGTCCATTATACCATAACTATAATAATGACCCCTCAAAATAGTATGAGTAACTATTGACCCCACATTAAGCCCCCATGCCGCTTATAGTATCCCAAATAGGACCCTTTTTCAAAAACCTTTTGAAGGAACCCTACTCTAACTACTGAGGCCCCATTGAGGCCCCTACATTCAAGCCCTTATGAAAATCCGGAAGCACCCAGTGCCTCGGGAACGAGGGGATCCAAATCCAGCTCCGGATCCCGGCAGGCGCAGAGAAGCTCAAGAGCACGATTCTGACGGCTCTTTCTTTGTGGCTTATGGGGTTTAGGGTTTCAGGGTTCAGAGTTTTTGGGGTTTTGGTGGTTTATGGGGTTCTGACGGCTCTTTTTTGGGGGGCTTATGGGGTTTAGGGTTGATCTTCACACGGGATTACAGCATTCAGGGTTTATGGGGTTGAGGGTTTCAGGGTTTAGGGTTTTTGGGGGTTTAGGGTTTAGCGCTTTTTGTGGTTTATCGGGGGTTTAGGGCCTAGAGATCCAAGCCTTGGCATTAGGGCGTAAGGGTTCTTTCCGGGCTCTTTAGGGTTAAGAAATGCTTTTGGTGTTTTCTGACGTTGTTTCGAGTTTTAGAAGAGGGCTAGGGTTCAAGGCTTGTTTAGGGTCTATGACGAGCTTTGAGTATAGAGCTTCCTATCTCCGTAAAGGGTGCTCAGCTGTGTTATAGAGTCCGTCTAAGGGGCTATGACATAAGGGTCTTACAGGCATTCTAGAGGGATTCTCATAGAGGTACTTCGGGGCCAAAGTATATATTATGTGGGTACTGCTAGCTGTATTGCATCACGAGAGATATTGTTGCTTGCGGTTCCTTAGCCTTGTGATAAACATACTCCCGATTCGTTCTACGTAGCACCAAGATAGAAGGTTTCTGCATTGGAACCAGTATCATTGTTATGATTTGGAAAACATCCACCATGCGGGAGTTTCCGAAAATCGGGGACCCTAATATTATACCCTAAATAGTAGGATCCTTATTGTAAGGACCCCAATGTAAGGTACCCCAAATTTTCGGCAACTCCCATACCAGTAGGATCCTTGGGGACGGTATGTAATGTACCCCGCAACACCAGGCCAGGGTTTTGCTGAGCTCCTTTTTACGACTCGTCTGAGCTTCCATAAGGCCGATTGGCCAGGGAAAGGGGATGTTTAGGGTTTAGGGTTCAGCGCAGCAGCCCATGAAAACCATGGGTTGAGGGTTTCAGGGTTTATAGGGGCTCAGAGCCTACTCCAGGGTGTACGGGATTGTTTTGTTTTAAGGGTGCATTGGGACTTTCACTCCGCCGACTCCCTTCCCTTTGTCGGGTTTAGGTGTTTGGGGTTTACGAGTTCGAAGTTTAGGGTTTAGGGCACATACCCCTGAAGAGTCCTTATCCAAGGACCGAAGCAAACAGTTGGCAATCCCAACCACAAACGTCACATGAAGTAGTGCTTCGAGTATGCCCGTCTAGTCCGCTGATATTGATACACGTTGCATAATATATATATATATATATATATATATATATATGATCGCAAAAATCCAAAACCCTATAAACCCTATAAACCCTAAATCCTATAAACCACCCTGTAAACCCTATACACCCCACCCTATACGCCCTACAAACCCAAAAAAACCTAAAAACCCTATAGGCCCTATAATGGGCCTGCAACTGCCTCTCGAGCTTGATGGCCAGGCATTGGGATGCTGAAGGCATCTCCCACCTGTTTAGGGTTCAGGGTTTAGGGACCCATTATCCCAACAGGAGGGACTGCCATGGGGCCTGGGTTTTTGCACACCCAGTGTTTTGCACTGTTTCCACTACTTGTTCGGTACTTGTCGTTCAGGGTTGCTTTGCGTTTTGGAAGGCCCTCTGCATGTGTTTTCGACGCTCCGCTGTGGTTTCGCACGAATTCCCTTGCGTTTCCATGCTCCCGCTGTGGTTTCGCGCGACTTCCGGCTTCCTCTGTCCTGCTCTGGCTTCTTCTTCTTCTGGGGGCCCGCATTATAGGTTGCGGGCCGCAACGGAGCACGCGGAGGGGCGCGACCTTCGTTTCGATGCTCCCGCTGTGGTTTCGCGCGAATTCCGCTGCGTGTCGAAGCTCTCGCTGTGGTTTCGCGCGAATTCCCTTGTGTAATGCTCCCGCAGTGGTTTTGTACGACTTCCGGCCTGCTCCGGCCTCTTAGGTTGCGGGCCGCACAACGGCGCACGCGGTGGAGCGCGACCTTCGTTTCGACGCTCCCGCTGTGGTTTCGGGCGAATTCCGCTGCGTTTCGATGCTCCCGCTGTGGTTTCACGCGAATTTCCTCGCGCTTTTATTTGTGGTCCCAGGGAGTGTCGGTGATTTTTCGTTGGCCTCTTCTGGCCTCCTTTGACCTCTTCTGGCCCTCCTCACTGTTTGGGGTCTGCGCCGGCATAATTTGTGATCGCTTCGCGAATGCTGCTATGATTAGTTGTGACTGGTTCGTGCTTTGCATGATCTTCGACTGAAATCAAGATCAAGGGACTGTGTTCATTGACACTAGCCCTATGCACCCCTAAGGTTCACGATGCATTTGAGAATGCTACGATGCCGAATGGCATTGCCTGAAGAACGGACGACTGCTTGGTTGCACAAAGGCGTGCTTGAGTGCGTGTGACTGTGGGGGAAAGTCACTGATGTCTAGGTTGCTCGTAACTGTCTAGACTGTACAGTGGAATGTTGCACCCTCCATCACTCGTGACTTCTCCGTCACAAGAAGACGCAACACATCTCAGCAAAAGAGCCTGGAATCACTTGTGACTTCTGTGCTTTGTGACTTCTGACACAAAAACAAGAAGTCACAAGTGATTCCCCTTCGTTTGCCGATTCCGATTCACCATGTATTTCAAACACGCCCCCTTCATTCGGCGACTTCGGTTTATCGATGTTTCGCGTATGTCTTAAGCACGCCCCCTCATGTGGCATTCGGCGATGCTACTTCATCATTTATCTTAAAGACGCCCCCTCGTTTCACGATTCTGGTTCCCCAACTTTTTACACGCGTCGCTTCATTTGGCGACACCGGTGCAACATCTATTGTAAAAGAGCCCACTCATTTGGGAATGCTACTTCACCGTCTTTTTAAACACGCCCCCTCCTTTGGCGATTCCGGTTTATTCTATATCTTAAACACGCCCCCTCGTTTGGCGATTCGGATTCAAAATATATATATATATATATATACCCTGCTATTCCTGAGGGCGCCCTTTCGAAGGACTTGGTTCTAAGGACGTGTATTCGAGGGACCCTGGTTCTGCTCACGGTTAGCCGGGGCTTTGATGTTTTGGATGAATCTGCGAAGCCATAAGAAACGGATCTTTTGCAACTCGATTCGCTGAAATCCTGTCGCATCTACCTTCGACCAGCATCGAACCGAGCACGTTGTGCTCCGGTTCGCCTCGCAAAAGCCAAAAGCCGATGCTTCTTCAGCGCCGCAAGTCTGGCAATGGATTTCTTGAGTATCGCATCCTCGAAAGTGCCCGGGTTCGCTTTGCGAGCTAGCAACTTTGTCCATCGCATAGCATCTTCGTCAGTAAAACAGTGATGGTACCGCATATTCATACCTTAGATGCCGTCCCGAAATTTGTCGAAACCCTGTTTGTTTGCATCCGGGAAACCAAATGCTCGCCGTGATGCAGGTCCGCTTCGTTTCCAAAAGCTGGTGCTCAAAGTAGTGGGCTTTCGGGATAACATTCCAGGTGAGTTCTTGCTGCCTGCACAAAACCATCGGATACTTTATTTAGAACACAAAGCCTTACCGGAATATCTCCAAAGGGTAGATCGCCCATAGAACTCAGAAAAATAGCCATTGCGAAAAGCCCCACCTCACCGACACCTGGGCCAGCTCCAAGCCCTTGTTGATGAAAAGCATACCCTCATGATACACTTGGTTTGCTTCTCCTTGTGTCACGAATCGTGGCAGTCGCTCGGAAAGTCCGAAAAACCTGGCCAAACCTGTCCTCAGTTTAGCCCGAATTGCAACTCAAGATACCGTTACCGCTAGGTAATATCAGAAATGGGCGAAAAAAACTATTTGAAATCAAGCCTCATAGCAACGGCCTGCAATGGAATCTTGGGGTCCGAAGAAAAGCTTGCAGCCCCTGCGTGCACTTGCCCAGCCAGCCATGCTCCAAAGCAACGTCGGGCCCCTGGGGCGGACTGTCGCATCACAGCCAGTCGTGACACCGATGCCAAATATTCGACCATAATCCTTCCATTCCAAGCCTTGCAACTCATCGAAGGAGTACGTAAGCCCCCATCTTTTTTCTTCATAATCTCAGCTGGGTCGACAGTCGACAATACTAAATTCATTAACTCATTAGCTCCTCAAAAACATAGCCCGATAACAACATCCCAACATTCTATTAAGCAGAATCCCGGCCCTAACCTCTAAACCCTACGTGCAAAGCATAAATACACCAGGCTCGATATCAAATACAAGGCTCCAATCCATATTTGAACCTTCGTTGGGACGAGTAGATCTTTTGCTCTTTCAGCCAGGCCTTGAAGTCGACATAGGCTGCTTGGAAAAGCTTCTCGAGATCTTGAGACGGGTCTCCGTACCAGCCTGCTTTTGCCAGCGTGTACCTTGGAGAAATGTGTCTAGCTGGTCCGAATCCTGATAAATTACGAACCAATGAACTCGAACCCGAAATATTGGAAACTGAAGCCCAAGCGCAAGCTCGAACCGTTCGCAATGAAGACCAGGCCCAGGTTCAGGTTGTGCATCGCGCACATGCGGATGGTGTCCAAGCCGAAATTTGGGAGAAGCAGCAACGGACCTTATATGACTGGGCATGATCTTCTTAGACAGCACTGGGTATGATTGTTGCAGAAACCGAAAAAGAAATTCCATCGAGTCACATAAGTTGTCCAAAGGTAGCTTTTCAATCATCCAAGTAAGCACATCTCGGTAGATCGTTGCTCTCCAGGGTGCTTGTTCTCCCGTATGAGTGAACAACATATTCTGATTGCGACCGGTTTGTGTGGCGTTGCAAAAAAAGCAGACTCGAGTCGATTTCCAGCCATCAGGAAATCCCCAGATCATTTTGTGCCATCCCAGATCGCCCCGTAGCTCCGTCACGAAAAAGCAACCTCCTATAGGGATTTGCCTGCGTGCTGCGCTTCTGCGGGTGGCAAAGGCTCACCATGCATTCCTCGATCGGGGAAGACGCCCCTGCTGGCCCAGCCCAAAGACCAAACAATACGTTCCATGATTGGCAAAAGTGTTCGGTTGCCTGGTAGCATTAGCTTTGTCGAACGGAATGCACAAATCAGAAATCTGCTCAATCGGATGCTTCGAGGCCTGAACAGAACCAAATTCAAAAATATGCCCAGAACTTTTTCTTGTGACTCATGGAGGCCGTATTTGGTCTCGTCGGCATACAATCCAATCGGAATAGCTTCAAAATTTGTCTGCTTTGTAGCCCAATCAAGTCCTTTCTCAGCAGCAAACTCCCAGTATTGGCGAATGAGGTCTTTGTCAGTCTGGATACCAACAACCGAATGAATATAATGCAATACCTCGTGAGGGTAAAGAAGAGGAATATCCATCATCTCGTATGTCATCGAAGTACAGTTGCTTTGTGCAACAACAGGCACTTTCACGAGCTTGGGGTCCTTATCATATTATTGCAGGAAATTGAAATAGGATATCATCAGCATCACCCCCATGCCATCACAGAACCAGAAACCATAAATAAATCTAGGAGACCTAGCGCTTAAGCCGACAATTCCCACCGCCCACCAACCGAGACCAAGTCCCAATCCTATGTTGGAAAGAAAACCTTAAAGAACACCAAAGTCTTGCTCTCTGCCATTAGGAAGATTCTAGCGGCATTTCCACCGTCCTGTAGAAGTCTCTGGAATCGTTCTTCCCGCAGAACTTGGCCAGCTTACGTGTCGTGCCGGAGCATCTTCCCTGGCTCTCCTGAAAAGCTGAAATCAAAAAAACATACCAAGATTGTTCGGCTGCTTGCATTCGGCAGAAATCAGCCAAGTATCATCATTCATCGTTTTGGCGGATCGCATAACACTGCAGGCACTTTCCCCCTCAGTGTGTCCCAGTAGAATATTCGATCGATGAGGTTAGGAAAGAAAGGCTATTGCAGATGAGACACAAAATCGCCGATTTTCTCCAACCATTCTTGAAGACCTGGTCCATCATCTTCACCACCTGCGGGGGTCAATCGATGCTTTCGAAACTGAAAGGTTTGATGCTCTTGATGCTCTTGCAGAATGCAAAACCGGCATCTATCTTTTGCTCATCTGTCAGCACGACTTCGCAGTTGGAACCCATGCGTGATTCCCGGGTCTATGGAATCGTGCAGCCCCTTCCAGAAGAAGCCGTGCTCAGCTAGCTGAGCACTCGAAGACTCGCAGATTTGTTCTAACCCCGAGGATTTCAAATTACCCAGCTGCGGCTAGGTCCACAGCTAGGATCGGAACATTCGCAGAATAAACTCGGAAGCTCGGAGGCACATGTGGCAGGCCTATGGTCGATCCCTAAACTTGATTATTTCTACTCGTTACAAGACTTCATCTTCAGCATTACGGGGGTCCTTCGGGCATCGGGAATCCATCCAGATTTAGAAGAAAGATTCAGTGTTGCGTGCATGCGTTTGGGCTTGTTAGGCTTGCTGGATCATGAAACTCAGACCGACTAGCAAGGCTCAGTGGCAGCTTCCGCTTTGCAATCCGTGCCTGGTTCTTGCAGTCCTAGAAGATCATCTAGCTTCGAAATTCCGAGGGACCCGGCATTTATCCTCCAGGTATTGACCCTAAGTAGCTCTCATAAAAACATATGATCTGAAACCCTAAGTAGTATCATATCTTAAACGTGAAGCCTAAATAAGTCCATAAAGCATACGGTTCCGTTAACTTTGCCAATAAGCTTGAAACCCGACACATCAAACCCTCGCACCTATTACCAGCCCGAAACCCCAACTTCTAGGCCTCTCGTTTGACCATGGACCCTGAATCCCATAATTCCCTAAAATAAAGCCAACTCAGATAATCATCAGCCTCCAAAGCCTCATGAGAATATGTGGCGCTGCGATCATGATCTACTTCTTCTTGGCTTTTGAAGCCGTGCTCTTAGCGAACTTCACAGCTTTTTCAAACTCTTCGATTGCCGTTTGCAATGACGATGTCAACTGCTCCAGCTCGCTGATCTCCTGCGGAGGGTTCCATAATGTTCTCAGAGTGCATCCGGTTGATTCACTAACGGGGGTTCCCCACCTGCTTGTCCACTGCATCCTGCAAGCATTGACGCTTCTCCTTCATGGCCGCGAGGGATTCCTCAGGGCAGGAACCAAAATAAGGATAATCGACCATAAACATTTGGCCCCTCCTTGAGGTCTCTCTCCGCCGCTTCTCGCACGTTCGCGCCCCTGTCGTTCAGCAGAGCTAAGGACTTCCGGGTTTGGAGTTTTGATTTGGGGTTGCAGGGGTTTGTAATCACGAAGACTGAGCCCGAGGCAATGTGGCACAATCATTTTCAGCAGCTGGGAACTCTTGGATCTTCTTGCCAGCTTTGTTGATGGCCTTATGATTCAGGTTTGTGGCATTTCAAATTTCATTATCTAAATAGGTTCTGGGTCCGACATGAGGCTCGTACGGATTTGGCTTTCGAGACCAGCTTCTTGTCCTCCTCCTGCCTCTTTTTCAGCTCATCGAGCACCTCATCCACTTCTTTATCCTCCTTGCTTTCACGCCTTTTTCCGCCTTTGTTGCCTTTCTTCTCCTTCTTGGCCTTCTTTTCCTTTTTTGCCTTCTTGTTCTTCTTCTTGTTTTTGCCTTTCTTCTTGTCCTGACATAACAACCCAACAGCAAGAGTGAATAAAAGAACAACCGAAATAAGTTTAGCTGCATGCTTAAACCCCACATACTCCAACACCCGTAGGAAGATGAAGTAACTGCGGAACAGCAAAAGACTGAAAACGTAAACCTTATAATCCCCAGGCTACCTCAACCCTAAACCCTAAAACCTGTTAGAGGGCAAATCTCTGGACTATGAGGGTGTAGTAAGACCTTGGGAACAATCCAAGAAGCTGGTAAAGGTAATCTTGCAATCCCCAAAATACCGATTTCGTTAGCTTTAACTAGCTAAGCTCTAAACACCGAAACCTACAGAAGATTCCGTGGGGCATATGGCTGGAGTATAATTACAACAACTAATGATGGCACTGAGAAATCTTAAACCAATGTACCTTCTTCTTCGAGGTCTTCGAAGAGCCAGATGAGGATGTCGATGAGGAATCCTCGTCGGCGGCCGAGTAGAGCTGCTCCATGATTTCTTCCTCTTCTTCCACCTCTTTCGAGGTGTCCAATATCAAGTATTGCACAAGGTCGTCGCTTTCGGGCAGTTCGGGGTGCCGACGGATTTCAGTGGCTCGTAGCTTCTCGTCCCCCTGTTTTCGAAGAATGATAGCGTCGGCGGAAACCTCGCCGAATTTTGCAATCACCTCGGCACGTGTCATCCACACCCGCACCCCGGTCCTGCGTGAGCGACTGATGCTCTTGAGATTGAGATAGATCGAAGAAGTTTTCCAATTTCCCTGGCACTTCTCCCAAGCTTCGAAGAGGATGGAGTTCATGGCGGAATCTTAGTGTCACGTAGTGCTGAAGAACTATCGAGAACATCATAAGCAATATATCGGATCCCATTCATTGCCGAGGTTTGGAACCCGGCAATGCAGGCGAGCACAAGAGGCTGACGGGTTTTCATATCAGAGTTCTCATAGGATCTGAGAAAAGCCTAGAAACTTTAGGGCTTTGGGCTTTGGGGTTCGTGTTTAGTGTAGAGTTTAGTTTTACTAGATTTGGGATGAGCTAGTTGATCCTTCGGGGTTGAAGGGGGCTACGTTTAGGGTAGGGTTTTGGGCTTAAGGTTTGGCGTTTTGGTGTTAAGTTTTACTAGATTTGAGGCTTAGGTTTCGGATGGGCCATACAACGCGAATCGATACTTGGGGGGACAACGGTTAGGGTAGGGTTTTGGTTGTGGTTTCGTGTTAAGGTTTTAATTTGATTCGAGGCTCAGGTGGTGGATGAAAAGGATGATGCTATTTGATCCTTAGGTGGGTTAGGTTTTAGGGTGAAGCTTTGAAGATTTACTACATGCGAACCTAGGTTTCGGAAATGGAAATAGAATGCTAATCGATCCTGGGGGGGTTGGATTTAGGTTGTCACGGTAAGGTTTTAAATTTTACTGGATTGGAGGCTTTTGTTTTCGGATGAGAGTCCCCTGCTATTTCATGCTGCCGAGTTGCCGTTCTTGGCTTTCTCTCCCATGCGCTTGATCTCAACTGGGGTCTTCGGTGATTCTTAGTGGCTAGCAGGGTGCAAGCTTTCCAAGACAGACTCGTAGAATATGCAAAATCAACTGAGCCCCATACCTCTAACCGACCGATAGTACCTCATGTACCTTGCGTGGGCGGCCAATTTCCTTTTCCTCAGCTCCTCTGCTTTCTTTGCCTCCTTCTCCGTCAGCGCTTCGGGATCGGGCCTTTCTGTGCCATCCTCCTGCTTTTCTTCAGCTGGCTTTGCTTTGGGTTCTTTTTTCTCATCTTCCTTCTTTTGCTCATCGGGCTTTGCTTTGGGTTCTTCTTTCTTATCTTCCTTCTTTTGTTCATCTGGCTTTGCTTCGGTTTCTTCTTTCTTGTCTTCCTTCTTTTGTTCATCTGGCTTTGCTTCGGTTTCTTCTTTCTTGTCTTCCTTCTTGTTTTCTTTCTTTTCGGATGCCTCAGCGACCTTTCCTTTCGGATCTTCTTTCACAGCAACAACCAACTGGGTTTCCGGGTTTGCAGTCGGCTTGGGTTCTGTTCTTTCGGCAGGCTTCGGCTCAGCTTTTGCGGGGCTTCCTTGGCTCACAGCTGCAGCACTCAAGACCTCGGTTGGGCTTTGCACGGAAGACGCCGGTGGGCTAGATCCCGGAGTAGCAGTGGATACAGAAGGCACCGTTGCCTTAGTCGGCGTTGCCAACTCTGCGAACTTTGTTTCCAAGCTCTGAGCAATCGCGGCCAAATCCCCATTCCGGTCGAAGGTCCGCAAGCGACTAAGCGCTTCCATTACATCTGTGCCCACCTCCGTGTCACTCGTATCGCTCCTGCGAAAAGCCTTTGGTGGGGTCGCCTGCGACCCGTCCTCACCAGGAAGTGAATCCCACGAACACGAAGAATGCTTTCGCCTCCAATTACCGTGCCACTGATTCACCCACTGAGGTTGCCAAGCCTCCTGCGAACCCCATCCCCATGAGGAGGACTGCCAAGCCTGGCTGTCCCAGCCATAGGAATCACCAGAAGCATAAGTTTCTGGCCATGACCTGGCTGGCCACGTCTCGGCTTTAGCAGCTTTAGCATCTTCAGGGTTGGGGGCATCGACGGGAGTTGTTGCCACAGCGTCTTTATCCTTTGGGCAGTCGCGGATCGCCCCTTCGCTAGTCTTCTCTTCTTTATTCTTCTCATCTTTGTGGCTTTTGCTTGCTGGCTTTGCTTTTGTCTTTGGCTTCTTTCTCAGAGGTTCCACAGCCTTTGTCATATTGTAGTGGTAGTCATAAAACAAAACACCATTGCATTGCTTCTGTTCGATGTGTGCACCAAGACTAAGATTGTTGCCTTAAGCAACTCCGGGTCTACTTGCGTCTCGGCGGAGTCTGGTGAATGACCTGATTTTGCAAAAGAAATCAGAAGCAATCCGAGCAATCACACACATAGCTGAGGTTTCGACGCAGTTCACCCTTCCGAGGCTTCCTAGGTAAGCTACAAGGACACAAATCCCTAGACAAGCTTGCCCAAGTTCCGAAGCTACGGCTAGGTTGCTGGCACTGCGCTGGTCGCTGGACTAGCAGAAGCAGCACCATCCTCAGGATTCCTTCCGCAAGCCTTTTCGGCCCTGGCTTTGGCTTTCGCCAATGCTGCTTCAACGGCAGCAGACGGCATATTCTGCCTTTGGATCGTTAACAAAAACCTAGCTTTGCCAAAATGGCTGCGTGTATGAGGCAATTATCTCTTGGATCTTACTACACGGGCTATGGGTTTTGACTCACGAGTATTGGGGGCTTTCTCACGAGTATTGGGGGCTTTCTCACGGGTATCCGGGTCCTTTCACGCTCAGCTCACGCTCGTTCACGCTTACTGTTTCGCAGAGCATTTGTGTGATCGCAGAAGTTCGTCGATCTGGAAGCTAAAGTACTAAGATGCAAGCCTGATTTCGTGCAAAAGCTCACAGACCCTCTGGAAACGTCGGCACGAAAGAGCCATCCCTCACCCGGGCTCGCAGAAACGAACTCAGCTTGTCGAGGCCGGCATGGGCCCACAGATCGGCAGGTGTTGCTGCCTGGTCCACAGATATCTTTCTTTCTAAAGGCTTGCTCTCAAGAGCTCTGGGTTTAAGGCTTTAGGGGTTTAGGGGTTTATGGGTTTGGGATTGAAGGGTTTAGAGTTTGTGGGCTGAGGGTTTCGGGGCTTTAGATTCAAGGGCATAGGGTTGATGGGTTTACAGTTGAAGGGTTTAGACTTTAAGGGTCTGGGATTTAAGCATTCAGCGCCTCTTTGAGCAGTGGCTTCTTGATAAATTCAGCTAGATGAGCTCGCAAGAGGCACTTTCGTCTGGCCTGCAGGGAAAGTGTGTGTTGCGCTATGTGTTTTGCCGGTAGACAACCTATGATTTTGGTTCATAACACTAACCCAAAGACTAGAAGGGAGAGCTTGGGTGTTATTGGCTATGTAATCATCCTGTTGCGATAATGTACTGAGAGAGAGAAACGGGACGCAGGTTAAAGACGCAGATGGGTCGCGATGGGGAGTGAGCCCCGGGTCCTGATAAATCTTGTGCTCCAGCATGATCTTTCTCGCATAGCCCATTGGGTAGATCTGTGACGCACGTAACTTTTCGGCTCCTGTCCTTGGATTCACAAACCAACACCCTATTTCGGAAGAACTACGAAGAACCCATCCCCAAGCCTAGTCAATATGTGGAGGTCTTCGGGTTTTCCGGACACCTTTTGCATCTTTGCTGTTCTAACTTCTAACACATCAGATAGGACTGAGAGCACTCGACGGTCTGAGACTTTAGGGTATCCGGGGATTCAGAATTTTGGGGCTTCGTACTAAGGGCACCTGCAGGTTCAAGACTTCAGGATTTGGGGTTTAAGGCATCTCGGGCTTCTCTGCTTCGGGCTTTGAGCCTTTAGAGCCAAAGGAGGGTTGTTTAAGGTCTGAGGATAACGTAAGGGTCTAGGATGATGTGTGGTTGGAATTTAATCTCGGGCCCGCACACTCGGACTCTCCCAGTCTCATCGGCCTTTCGCTTGACCATTCCTGCAGAAGACAGTTTCAGCCATCGTCGGCGTTTCTTCGTCATCTTCTTGTAGAGCTTCGCACTCCACGGACTCAGCACAAGATGCGAGTAATCTTTGAAACCTGTGTGGAAGCCAGCAGCTGCTTGCTAAGGTTTGGACGCAAAGGATATCGCCAAGCTGGCTTTGGAGCAGAAGTGGCCCCAGCTTCCCATCCAGCTGAGACGGGTTTAGGGTTTAGGGTTTTGGGTTTTGAGAAGAATTGCACTGCGAAGGGCTTCTCAGCACTGATAAGGGCCTGGCAATCTCGTTTCGAGGCAAGGAAGCCCAACATACTCCATTATCTTCTTGAGGAAGACATAAGACGGATCATGAATCACCTTTGTGCTTCGAGGTTGCTCAATGATCCAATACACCGATCTCGCGATGCAAATCATCAACAGCAACATTGTCCTGGCTGTGATCCTTAGATTGAAGCAGTCTCTCCCCATAGAGAAGATTCAAAGAAGTGGTGTGCAGGAGACGATGACATATAACTGACTAATGTGCTGGGAGGCCACGAATTTGCCCGGCGGACATATGCATGCTTGGTATTCCCATACGGGTTGGATGCAGTGCGCTGGTGGGTGGCCTGATTTATCCAGACATAAGAAGTGCAGGGCAACCCCGCCGAAATAAGCCCATCTTCCACCAAGCGAAGACATAGTCGGGCTGCATTAAGAAATCCTTTCCTCGGTTCGCAAAGGCTCGGTTGGGCCGCGCATGCAGAGCTCGGTGTGGAGGCTGGGTTAAGGTTGAACTAGGGTCCAGGGTTTGAGGCGAAGGTCCTAAGTTACGGCTCCAGGGTTTTGGCAACTGCACCTTTGGAGTACTGGGATTTCTAGTGTTACGGGGCTGAGAAGCTTAATGAACAAAATTTCGTAATAGCGAGGACTCGTACCGATTCATCAGATCAAATCAGGAACCTCTTGTGCCGCCGAAAGGCGATCTTGAAACCCCTGAACCACACCGCTTATCATACCTATCGAATTAAGAACCGAAAGAATAGAACCTTCAAAGTACGACTTCCAAAGCCTGCAAGAGTCGTACTCAAGATATCCTGGTCATCGCCGTAGAGGATATCAAAATAGCCACTGAGCAAAGCAAGCAATACGAAATCCCCCGCACTAAAGTGCACACACACTCCCCATCTGCGGCCTCTTCTGACCATCTCGACCTGGTTGTGGAGTAGGAGTGTAGCAGCACAGCTAATAGCAGTTAATAGCAGTATGATCTGTACATGTAGTAAGGCCCGAACAGAAG